GAGCCACATGCAACTCTGCTTCCTCGCCCCCTAGTGCCAGAGGGCCTGGCAGCGAGCTGGGCCTCTACCCCTGCCTGGTGTCAATGAGGCAGAACAAGACTGGGCAGGGCAGGCCTAGTAGACAATCTGCTTTCCCAGCCCCTGAGGCCAGCAAAGCCTTCCAGCCCCGCCCTTCCACAGAGAAGTGGGTGATGGCCGTGCAGGTCGCTCCTGTACTCCTCCCCTCCCTGGGGTCAGTGAGGCCCGGTGGGGAGTTGAGCTTAAGCCCCAAACCAGCCACAATGAAGTAATTCAAGTTGGTGCTCTGTTTTCACGGAATGTGTCAGTGAGATCCAGAGGGGAGTAGAAATTCTTCCTCAGCTGCCTGCAGTGAGGTACTGGGAGTCAGTCTCCCACAGTGGCCAGGGTGGTGGCAGCGGGCCATGGGGAGCTGAACATCCACTGTCACTATATTTGAACATTACACATACATGGGGACTGTATGCTAGAAAAAACATTAAATAGAACTCAGTGTGTCACGTATATACTCAAATTGTCCAGGATACAGTAAAAAAAAAAAAAAATCACCCATCATACCAAGAACCAGGATAATTGCAACTTGAATGAGAAAAGACAGTCAGCAGATGCCAGCACTTGGATGACTCAGCTGTTGGAAATACTTGACAAGGGTTTTTTTGTTTTTTTTTTTTGAGACAGAGTCTCCCTTATTGCCCAGGCTAGAGTGAGTGCCATGGCGTCAGCCTAGCTCACAGCAACCTCAAACTCCTGGGCTCAAGCAATCCTTCTGCCTCAGCCTCCCGAGTAGCTGGAACTACAGGCATGTGCCACCATGCCCGGCTAATTTTATATATATATATTAGTTGGCCAATTAATTTCTTTCTATTTATATAGTAGAGACAGGGGTCTTGCTCTTGCTCAGGCTGGTTTCGAACTCCTGACCTCGAGCAATCCACCCGCCTCGGCCTCCCAGAGTGCTAGGATTACAGGCGTGAGCCACTGCGCCCGGCCAACATTTCTTTTTCAAAAGTAAATGAAAAAGCTCAGCAGTTTGGAGAGAAATGAAGAAAGAATTAATGAACCTAAAGACAGATCAGTAGAAATCACTGAATCTGAACAAAGAGAGAGAGCATAGACAGAAATAAAATTAAATGAACAGAGCCTCAGGGATCTGTGGGATGATAAAAGATTTAATACTCTTATTACTGGAGTCCTAGAAACAAGGAGAAAGGAGTCCAGGGCTTAAAAAATATTAGGGGAAATAATAGGTGCTAAAAATTTAACAAATTTGGAGAAAGGCGTAAATCTACAGATTCAAGAAGCAGAGCAAACCCCAAACAGGATAAACCCAAAGAAATCCATACTGAGATGCATCATAATAAAACTTCTATAAACTAAATACAAATAAAAAACCTTGAAAGGCCGGGCGTGGTGGCTCATGCCTGTAATCCTAGTACTCTGGGAGGCCGAGGCGGGCAGATTGCTCAAGGTCAGGAGTTCGAAACCAGCCTGAGCAAGAGCAAGACCTCGTCTCTACTATAAATAAAAAAGAAATTAATTGGCCAACTAATATACATAGAAAAAATTAGCCGGGCATGGTGGTGCATGCCTGTAGTCCCAGCTACTCGGGAGGCTGAGGCAGGAGGATTGCTTGAGCCCAGGAGTTTGAGGTTGCTGTGAGCTAGGCTGACGCCAAGGCACTCACTCTAGCCTGGCAACAAAGGGAGACTCTGTCTCAAAAAAAAAAAAAAAAAAAAACCTTGAAAGAGGCTTTAGAGAGGTAAGAGGCATTACCCACTGAGGAACAACAATTTAAATGACAGTGTAACAGAGTAGTCGCCCCTCCTCCCATAGATATGGAAGGGAAATATTGAGAGCCGGGAATGTGTAACAGAGGGAATGGTCTGAAAAACTTCGCCTACTCTTTTGGGAACTGCAGCCTGGCCTGCATTCCTGAGGCAGGTTAAATCTTTTGTTAAAACTCCCAGGGGGTGCTAGCTCTCCAGGTGGGTGGCTGGCAGAGTTCATAGGCTTTGTTTTTGCCCGAGATGAGAAGATTAGAATAGTTAACTACAGTAATTTCCTTAAACTGAGAACCCTCCCTTTAAGGGCTCTGTATTTCTACAAATTATAAAAACTCACCCAAAATGAAATAGATAATCTGAATAGCCCTATAACTGTTAAATTAAATTGACTTGATAATCAAAAAGCTCCTTTAAAAAGAAATCTCTCTGTCCAGATGGTTTCACTGGAGAATTTTACTAACTATTTAAAGAAAAATTAACACTAATTTTATACAATCTTATCCAGAAAATAGAAGAGGGAACACTTCCCAACTCATTTTATGAGGCCAGTATTATTTTGATAGTAAAATCAGACTGAGACATAATTAAAGAAATTAAGGATCAATATCAATGAACTTAGATGCAAAAAATCCTCAACAAAATATTAGTAGAATCAAGCAGTGTATAAGAGGAATTATATACCATGATCCAGTGGGATTTATTACAAATACACAAAGGTGGTTCAATATTCAAAAATCTATCAACATAATCCACTACATAAAAGGCTAAAGAACAAAAAATATCAATGCAGAAAAACCATTTGACAAAATCCAACACCCATTCATGATCAATGCTCTCAGGCAACTAGTGGGAAACTTCCACATCTTGAAAAAGATTAAAAAAATAAAACTTGAAGTTAATATCATATTTAATGGTGAAAAAGACTAAATGATTTTCCCCTAAAATTTGGAATGAGATATCTACTTTTACCACTCAAATTCATCATCATATTATTAGAAGTTCTAGCCAGCACAGTAATGCAATAAATAGAAGGCATATAGATTTGAATGAAAAAAATGAAACTGTCCCTATCTGCAAAGGACATAATTCTCTATGTAGAAAATCTCAAGGAATTTATTAAAAAGCCAAAAAAAAAACCTCGTAAAAATAATAAATGAGTACATTAAATTCTCAGGATATGGATACAATATCAACACAAATATGAATCACATTTCTATACACTGAAAATGAGCAGGTGGAAACTGAAATTAAAAACCCAATACCACTTACAGCCATTCAAAAGAAAATCAAATATCTAGGTATACACTTAACAAAATATATACAGGATCTTTATGATAAAAATTACAAAATACCAATGAAAGAAATCAAAGAAGACCTAAGTAAATGGAGAGATATATACCATGTTCATGGCTTAGGATGCTCAATATAGCAACGATGTCAATGCTCCCAAACTGATCTACAGGTTTAATGCAATTCGTGTCAAAATCTCAGCAAGGGCTGGGCGAGGTGGCTCACGCTTGTAATCCTAGTATTCTGGGAGGCTGAGGCAGGCGGATTGCTGAAGGTCAGGAGTTCAAAACCAGCCTGAACGAGAGGGAGACCATCTCTACTATAAATAGAAAGAAACTAATTGACCAACTAATATATATAGAAAAAATTAGCCGGGCATGGTGGCACATGCCTGTAGTCCCAGCTACTCAGGAGGCTGAGGCAGCAGAATTGCTTGAGCCCAGGAGTTTGAGGTTGCTGTGAGCTAGGCTGACGCCACGGCACTCACTCTAGCCTGGGCAACAAAGTGAGACTCTGTCTCAAAAAAAAAAAAAAAATCATGTGCCACCTGATAGGATGAAATGAGGACACAACATCACCTCTATGATCTTCCTATTTAAGGTGCAGAACCTGAACCTAGCCATTCGGAAACATCAGACAAACCCAAACTGAGGGACATTCTATGAATTAACTGCCTTGTTGTAATCTTAAAAGTATCTAGGTCATGAAAGCCAATAAAAGGCTGTGGAAATTGTTCCAGACTAAAGAGACAGGACAACCACATGCAACAAGTGATTCTGAACGGAGTCCTTTTGCTAGAAAGGACATTAATGAGGCAAGTGGTAAAACTCAAATGGGGTCTAAGAATTAGACAGTAGCAAGATTTTACATTATTTCCTGATTTTCATTGCTGTATTTTGTTACATAGGAGATGTTAGGCTTGTTCCAGGTGGGAACTTGAAAAGTATATATAGAATGGAATGTGGTTAATGGAAAAGTTATGTTTGTAAAACAATAGCCGCAGGAATGTGGAGAGTCCCCAGAGGTTGTAAAATCTAACAGGTGTACGCAGGGGCATTCCTATCCCTCTGGATAAGGAGGGAACTACCCCCCCCCCTTATCTCTGCAGGATGAGACAGACGCAGGGGGCCCAGAAATTGGTTGTTTAAAAATTTTATTAGGCTGGGCGCCATGACTCATGCCTGTAATCCTAGCACTCTGGGAAGCCAAGGCGGGTGGATCCGGAGTTCAGGAGTTCAAGACCAGCCTGAGCAAGAGTGAGACCCTACCTCTACTAAAAATAGAACGAAATTACTTGGACAGCTAAAAATATATAGAAAAAATTAGCTGGGCATGGTGGCACATGCCTTTAGTCCCAGCTACTTGGGAGGCTGAGGCAGCAGGATCGCTTGAGCTCAGGAGTTTGAGGTTGCTGTGAGCTAGGCTGATGCCAGGCACTGTAGCCCGGGCAACAGAGTGAGACTTTTATTGCATCGGCTGTTTTGGCCCAGGTACTTACCCCTCCCCCCACAAAGAAACCCTCTATAAAACCCAAGGTTTTCCCCTCCCTCAGGTGGATGCTTTTTTGGCCTCCACCCATCTGCACCCAGGAGCTCAAATAAAGGGCATTTTGCTACGCCTGGGGCTTTGTGGGTCTCCTCCTCTGCTCGGGACCTAACATTTGGTGCTGAAACCCAAGACGGCACACGACCTCCGGGCCTCTAGCAGGCAACGCTTGCAACTCGGGAACTCCTGAATCCTGCCTTCCTCTGAGTCCCTGGGTCACCGGTTAAGGTTTCCATGAATGTCTGACTAAATTGAGAGAGGCCAGTCTCCCCAGTAGATTGAGAGTCCCTGGGAGCAGAACCTCCTTGTCTCTGACGAGGTGGCTGGGAGAAGTCCCGAGCCATACAGGGATCTCTGTCTAACTTGTCTCTGTTCCTGGAGTGTAGGCAGAGCGCTCTAGCTCAGTCAAGGCAAGGTAATTGTCCACCCGGACCGTCCTGAACCAAGCTGAGAGAAACAACAAACCGGCACTCGGATCGTCCTTGCTGACCTCCAAATTCTACACCCTGAGATATCCTGTTCCTGGTGAGTTGGAGCTCACAAGCCTTTTCTCGTTTCCCTATTCCTCTTGTTCTCCTTTAGCCAGAGGCTATTCCCCAACCTCTCTCACTCTTGCCCTTGTTTCTCACTGGTCTGGCGGTGAGCCAGAGGACCCTCGGTCCCTGAGGTCCCCGTTGGAAACAGGGACCGCCTGTTCCAACTTGTCCTTCGCACTTGCTTGTCACTCCCTGCCATTCCCTCATTCTAGGGACTCCTAGAATTCAGTAGAATTGGCCTCCTGTGACCCCCTATTCTTTCCAGGAACATGAGAAACTTGGGTTTACTCCTCCTAAAACTACCCCCTTGGGGTGCCTTCTCCGAAGCCTCAAAACACTAGGTCTCACTGATGAAATTCGGTCAAAACAACTTGTCTTTTACTGTAATACAGCTTGGCCACAATATAAGTTAGATAATAACTCTTTCTTTTTTTTTTTTTTGAAAAAGGGGTTCACCTTTCCAGGCTAGAGTGAGTGCCGTGGCGTCAGCCTAGCTCACAGCAACCTCAGACTCCTGGGCTCGAGTGATCCTTCTGCCTCAGCCTCCCGAGTAGCTGGGACTACAGGCATGCACCACTATGCCCGGCTAATTTTTTTTTATATATATATATCAGTTGGCCAATTAATTTCTTTCTGTTTATAGTAGAGACGGGGTCTCGCTCTTGCTCAGGCTGGTTTCGAACTCCTGACCTTGAGCAATCCGCCCGCCTCGGCCTCCCAAGAGCTAGGATTACAGGCGTGAGCCACAGCGCCCGGCCGATAATAACTCTTAAGTGGCCTGAAAATGGAACTTTTGACTTTAACATAATACAAAATCTGGATATTTTTTGTCACCACAATAGCAAATGGTCTGAAATCCCTTATATCCAAGCCTTCTTTACTCTTCTGCTCAGGCCCCTCTCTGTTAGAATTGCAATCTGGCAAAAATCTTTCTACTACACACTAGACCCCTTTCCCAACTTCCTCCCTCAGCCCCCAACCACCAGAAACTCCAGATCTTGATCCCTCAGATCTCAGCCCTCCCCCATATAGAACAACTCCACTGCTACTTGAACCCACTCCACATCTCTCCCTAGCCCCCCCAACTACGCGCTCTCACTCTGCCCAAACTCAGGACCTGCGGATTCTACCGCATAAGGCTTATACCCACTCAGGGAAGTGGCAGGGGCGGAAGGCATTGTGAGGGTACATATTCCCTTCTCCCTTTCTGATCTCTCTCAGATATATAGAAAAGACTAGGTTCCTTCTCAACTGATACTTACGCTTTTATCAAAGAATTTGAATATCTGACTCAATTGTATGATCTTACCTGGCATGATCTCTACATAATTCTTTCCTCTACTTTATCTCCTGAGAAGAAGGAGAGGGTCGGCTCAATGCCCAGGCACATGGCAAGGAAATCCGTAGACGCACACCTGCCCAACCAGTGGGGATGACTGCTGTTCCCAGAACCCACCCGTTATGGGATTATCAAATAGGAACCCAAGAGGGGACAGAAGGACAGGTTAAGAGAGATCATAGGATCACATGCCTGTTAGCAGGCCTGAAAAAGGCTGCCCCCAAGGCAGTCAATTATGAAAAACTAAAAGAAATCACACAGAGACAGGTTGAAAATCTGGCTCTCTTCCTGCCCAGGGTTACAAAAATATACAACCCTAGACTCTACTACCCCAAGGGAATTTTACTTCTGAATATGCATTTTATCTCACAAGCCTCACCTGACATTAGATGTAAACTTAAAAAATTAGAGGATGGTCCTCAAACCCCACAAAGAGATCTGTTACAAACCGCCTTTAAGGTATTTATTTATTTATGTATCTATTTATTTATTTTATTTTTCACAATTATTTTTTTACTTTATTTATTTTTTTTTTGAGACAAAGTCTCACTCTGTTGCCTGGACTAGAGTGCCGTGGCATCAGCCTAGCACACAGCAACCTCAAACTCCTGGGCTCAAGTAATCCTCCTGCCTTGGCCTCCCAAGTAGCAGGGACTACAGGCATGTGCCACCATGCCCGGATAATTTTTCTATATATTTTTAGTTGGCCAATTAATTTCCTTCCATTTTTAGTAGCGACGGGGTCTCACTCTTGCTCGGCCTGGTTTCGAACTTCTGACCTTGAGCAATCCTCCCGCTTTGGCCTCTTGGAGTGCTAGGATTACAGGCGTGAGCCACCACGCCTGGCCTAAGATATTTAATAATAGGGATGAGGAGCAACAACTTCAAAAACAAAAGAGGGACCAGGCCAAATGTTAGATGTTGGCAGCTGCCATCAACAGACCCCCGGAACATCCTCAGTCAAACTGGGGAAAGGGGCAAGTAACACCACCAGTCCTGTGTTTTAAATGTAAATAAACAGGCCACTGGGTGAGACAATGTCCTCATTCTCAGCCACCCCTGGGACATTGTCCCCTCTGTGGAATGAGGGACCACTGGAAGGTCAACTGCAGCTTGGCCCCTCGAGGCAGAGCCACAACCCTTCCTCCCAACAAATCGGACAGTCCTGACCTCACACTACCAAACCTCTTAGGCCTGGCCGCAGAAGACTGACCGTACCTGGGACCGTACCGACAACCCCGAAGCCGAGCACCACATCGGATCCCTGGGTAACTCTGTTGGTGGCAGGTAAGCCAATTTCTTTTCTCTTCAACATGGGGGCAATGTTCTCGGCCCTGCCAGAATTCCAGGGACCTACATATCTGTCCTCCCTCTTTGTTGTGGGGGTTGATGGCCTTGTCACCTATCCTCTAATAACCCTCCCTTTGACCTGCCATCTAGGCTCAAACATCTTCACTCATTCATTTCTAGTTCTTCCCTGATGCCCAACCCCACTATTAGGAATAGATATTCTGTCAAAATTACATGCTACTATTTACCTACCTATCGATTGTGAGCCACAGGCAGACACCGCCCTTCTTCTCCTCACAGACTCCCCTCCATCTCCTATACCTTTTCTTTATTTTTTTTTGTTTTTTATTTTATATGTTTTCTTTATTTTTTTTTCGATTACGTGATTAATGACCTATACCTTTTCTGAATCTGAGATCAACCCCAAAGTCTGGGATATATCAACCGCCTCAGTACCCACTCCCCACTCCTCTATCCAAATACATTTAAGAGACCCTTCCCAATTTCCTTGCCAAGCCCAATACCCAATCCCTTTACAAGGTCTTCAAGGATTGAAACCTATCATTACTCGTCTTTCCTCCCAAGGCTTACTTCGCCCTACTAACTTCCCATATGACACCCCTATTCTGCCAGTAAAAAAGCCAGATGGGTCATACCACCTAGTCCAAGATCTAAGACTCATTAACCAGGTGGTGAGACCCATCTACCCAGTAGTTCCTAACCCTTACACTAGCCTATCTCTTACCCCACCCACAACACAGTACTAGATTTAAAAGATGCCTTTTTTGCAATCCCACTACATCCTAACTCCCAAGACATCTTCGCATTCACGTGGACAGACCCAGACTCCAAACAGTCACAACAACTTACTTGGACAGAACTTCCCCAAGGATTTAGAACAGCCCTCACCTCTTTGGACACGCACTAGCCTCTGACCTAACCCAACTAAATCTTTCCCCATCTGTCCTCTTCCAATACGTAGATGATTTATTATTATGAAGTTCCTCTGAGACTATTTCTCACCAACATATTATACAACTCCTCAATTTCTTGGTGGAGAAAGGCTATAGAGTATCTCCCAAAAAGGCACAAATTTCCTTACCTCAAATAACCTACCTAGGACTAGCCCTCTCCCCGGAAAGAGAAAGATGGTAGATAGAAAACATCTTATGGCTCGGAAAGAGAAAGATGGTAGATAGAAAACATCTTATGGCTGGGCGCGGTGACTCACGCCTGTAATTCTACCACTCTGGGAGGCTGAGGCGGGCGGATTGCTCGAGGTCAGGAGTTTAAAACCAGCCTGAGCAAGAGCGAGACCCTGTCTCTACTATAAATAGAAAGAAATTCATTGGCCAACTAATATATATACAAAAAATTAGCCAGGCATGGTGGCGAATGCCTGTAGTCCCAGCTACTTTGGGAGGCTGAGGCAGGAGGATTGCTTGAGCCAGGAGTTTGAGGTTGCTGTGAGCTAGGCTGACGCCACGGCACTCACTCTAGCCTGGGCAACAAAGCGAGACTCTGTCTCAAAAAAAAAGAAAAAGAAAACATCTTATTATCTCCCTACCTCTTCTCACCAATAAGAGAGATCGCTTCTCTTTTTCTGGGATTAGCTGGATATTTTCATATTTGAGTCCCTAATTTAAGCATCCTAGCTCAACCTTTATATGAAACAACCAAAGGGGATCTCAATGAGCCATTATATCCTTCTATAAATATTTGGCCCTCTTTCAAAGCCTTAAATTCCCTGACCTTTGCTCTGACACTCACACTTCCCAACCTCACCCAACCTGTCCAACTATATCCTGATGACAGACAGGGTATAGCAGTGGGAATTTTAACACAGATTAATGACACAGACACACAGACAATAGCATACTTGTCCAAGCAGCTGGATTTAACTATTGGGCTGGCCAGCCTGCCTGAGAGCCTTAGCTACGGCTGCTCTTCTCACCAGGGAGTGTCAGAAACTCGCTTTTGGACAGCCTGTCACTGTCTACTCTCGCATTCCTTGTATCTTCTTCTCACACAGCCTAGAAACTCTGACATTATCTCATTTAACGTTTCATGTACTTTCTTTTTTTTAGTTTTCTTTTTTTTATTTTTTTTCATTTTAGGTTTCCGCTTCTGTGTGATCATGTACTTTTCGTAGAGACTCCACAATCATCCTGCAAAACCCTCATTTTAAATCTGGCACTTATTTACCTATCTCTCATGATCATTCCTGCATTCTTTTTTTTTTTTTTTGAGACAGAGTCTCACTTTGTTGCCCAGGCTAGAGTGAGTGCCATGGCGTCAGCCTAGCTCACAGCAACTCAATCTCCTAGGTCAAGCCAATCTTCTGCCCCAGCCTCCCGAGTAGCTGGCTACGGCATGGCCACCATGCCGGCTAATTTTTTCTCTATGTATTAGTTGGCCAATTAATTCTTTCTAGTTATAGGTAGAACGGGTCGCTCTTGTGTCAGGCTGGTTCGAACTCCTGTCCTGGAGCAATCACCGCCTCGGGTCCCAGAGTGCTAGGATTACAGGCGTGAGCCACCCACCCGGCCATTCCTGGATTCTTGCACAGACATGCTTGATTATAAAATTCTTACTTCTCCAACATTTCTCAACAGCCCATACCTAATTCCATTTACACCTGGTTCATAGATGGCAGTTTCTATCTACATGAGAAATGAGGGGAGAGCCGGGTATGCTATAGCATCCCGAGAGAACATTATTGAAAGCAGGCCACTGCCCATAGGAACATCTTCTCAAAAAGCTGAATTGGTGGCACTAATCAGGGCACTGACATTCTCAGAGAATGCAACAATTAACATTTATACAGATTCCAAATAAGCCTTTCACATCCTGCACTCACATGCCTCTATATGGGAGGAGCGAGGCTTTCTCACTACAAAGGGCTCCCCAATAGTCAACGGGTCTCTTGTTCTTAAACTCTCACGAGTGGCTCAGCCTGCCTACCAAAGGCAGTGGCGGTAATATAATGCAAAGGACACCAACAGGGCCATAGCCCCATTACAATTGGCAATAACTTAACAAACCAAGAGGCAAAAATAGCAGCCTTGTGAAATCCTCCCACTCTGCCAACCAAATGAGAGCTATCTTCCATGATTCCATTAACTATTTCCCTGAAGAAAAACATTCCCCACTAGAAGCTGCGGCTACTCAATTTGGCCCCTGGCTACTAAAGCAAGGAAAATACGTCCTCCCACAAGAACAAACATACACTATACTGAGAAATATACACAATCCACTACATGTAGGATTTAAACCTCTACTCCAGGCTGGGTGCAGGTGGCTCACGCCTGTAATCCTAGCACTCTGGGAGGTCGAGGCGGGTGGATTGCTCCAGGACAGGAGTTCGAAACCAGCCTGAGCAAGAGCGAGACCCCGTCTCTACTATAAATAGAAAGAAATTAATTGGCCAACTAATATATATACAAAAAATTAGCCGGGCATGGTGGCGAATGCCTGTAGTCCCAGCTACTTGGGAGGCTGAGGCAGGAGGATTGCTTGAGCCCAGGAGTTTGAGGTTGCTGTGAGCTAGGCTGACGCCACGGCACTCACTCTAGCCTGGGCAACAAAGTGAGACTCTGTCTCAAAAATAAATAAATAAACAAACCTCTACTCCAACTCCTAAAACCTCCCATCCGCTGTCCAAACCCATCTTCTCTTCTACAAGACATAACCCGCAAATGCTCTATATATGACTTAGTCTCCCCTCAGGGAGTAGCCCTACTTTCCTACTCATCAGACATAGGGTTATGTTCTTGCCAAGATTGTCAGATAGGCCGGGCGCGGTGGCTCACGCCTGTAATCCTAGCTCTCTGGGAGGCCGAGGCGGGCGGATTGCTCGAGGTCAGGAGTTCGAAACCAGCCTGAGCAAGAGCGAGACCCCGTCTCTACTATAAATAGAAAGAAATTAATTGGCCAACTAATATATATACAAAAAATTAGCCGGGCATGGTGGCGAATGCCTGTAGTCCCAGCTACTCGGGAGGCTGAGGCAGAAGGATTGCTTGAGCCCAGGAGTTTGAGGTTGCTGTGAGCTAGGCTGACGCCACGGCACTCACTCTAGCCTGGGCAACAAAGCGAGACTCTGTCTCAAAAAAAAAAAAAAAAAAAAATCTCAAGATTGTCAGATCGACTGTATTCACATGCCCACTGTCAAAAGAACGAGATATCTCCTCATCACAGTTGACACTTTTTCTGGATGGGTAGAGGCATTTCCCACAACCTCAGAAAAGGCCTCAGAGGTCTCACATGCACTTTTAGAACATGTCGTTCCCCAATTTGGACTCTCCACCTCAATTCAGTCAGATAACAGCCCAGCCTTTATCTCCCAGGTCACACAACCGGTCATACAAACCCTAGGCATACACTGGGTCTTCCACATCCCATATAGACCCCAGTCCTCAGGGAAGGTAGAAAAAATGAATTCCATCCTCAAGGCTCACTTAATTAAACTTGCCTCACAAGTGAAGGAACCATGGACTTCCCTATTACCAATAGCCCTCATGCGAATCTGGCAATGCCAAGGGCCTCCACTTTCCTCGGCCCCTTTGAACTCATGTAGGGCTGCCCCTTCACATTAACTCTGTTCCCACACTCATACCCTCCTGCCCTTGGAAACTATATACCTACCCTGGGGTTGGTTAGACAGCTACTTAGAGACTTTGCTAATGAAACTCTACCACAATCACAGAGCTCTACTTCACACAATCTGACCATACAGCCTGGGGATTGGGTTTTATTAAGAACCCCACTTCCCACCACTCCAACCAAAATGTGGGGGCCTGCATCTTGTTCTGTTGACTACACCAACAGCAGCAAAACTCCAAGTCCTCTCAACCTGGATCTACATTTCCTGTCTTAAACCCTAAAATGAGGAGTTTTCTCCACCCTCTTTCTACAGGTCTACTTAACGGGACCCACATCCATCTGGCTCACCGGAGTACAAGAAGAATTGGTCTCAGATCTCCAAGTAGATGAGTAATTTCCCCCAGAATCGACAGCCTTTCCCTTCACTCCATGCCCAAATAATAAGAGCTCTGTCTGAGACCCCCATCTTCTTCAAACATCATCTTCTTCGATTTCTCTGGGATGCATACTTACAGGGGGATTTTGACTTCTCTTGGGAGGAGATACATCATGCTCTAGACCCTGATCAACTAAGTAGTCTCCCCTTCGATTACACTCAACCCTACTACTCTCCCCGCCAAGCATAAGATGGCTATCTTAACTTCTAAGACACTTGACTTATTCCCCTCTACTCTAATTTCCTCCACCAAAACCATATGGTATAAAACACATTCTTTCTCACCTCCCAGGGAATAGGCCCAGGGAATATTCCAGGCCTACAATTCCTCTTGCTGGGTTTGTTACCAACAACCCATCCTTTCTTGGGATGAATCCTGTCTTCAGGCCACCCCAGTTCATATATCCATAGTGTCTCAAACAAATCTATTTAGGGGCACCCCACAGTTCATTCCATCCATACCTGGGACCTTTTTGTCTATCGAACCCGATAACTCCTTTTGCTTTTACCCCTCCTGCACCATCCTTCACACTAATGTGCTACCATCCATAATGGCAACAGGTGGCTCTTTTGATTGCACGCCCCCCACTACATCATTGTTTCCTAAGATGGCACTTCCCCAATTTACTCATGCTCCAAGGGAGGAAAAGCTGTTTACTATTTTCTTTCCCTTTTTTTTTTTTGAGACAGAGTCTCACTTTGTTGCCCAGGCTAGAGTGAATGCCATGGCATCAGCCTAGCTCACAGCAACCTCAAACTCCTGGGCTCAAGCAATCCTCCTGCCTCAGCCTCCCAAGTAGCTGGGACCACAGGCATGCGCCACCATGCCCGGCTAATTTTTTCTATATATATTAGTTGGCCAATTAATTTCTTTCTATTTATAGTAGAGACGGGGTCTCGCTCTTGCTCAGGCTGGTTTTGAACTCCTGACCTTGAGCAATCCGCCCGCCTCGGCCTCCCAAGAGCTAGGATTACAGGCGTGAGCCACAGCGCCCGGCCGGGTTTACTATTTTCTTAATCACACATTATCTAAAGGAATATGTAATGCTTCAGATGTCTACGCAGGCCCAAATTCCATAAACTGTACTATATCCCTTACCCCATCCTCTCCGAATCCTTTCCTAATCCTATGTTTCCCTCCAAACATACATTTATCGACAGTGGGACTCACTCATCCAAAATAACACAGGGGAAGACATACACCATAGCTCTTACCCACATTGCAATCCTGTACACCCTTTAAATCTTCATTTCTTGTCATGGCTAAATCATTCATCCCTCTTAAGGCACACTACTAAACCTGGCCCACTGTGTCTCCCACCAGGTCTCATGTTCTTGGGGGGCATAGGCAACAAAGGAATTGCTCTACATTGTATAAATCCCATGGAAACTAGAGGTATTTGGTCTATAGGGTATGTTTTACCGCTGGATAAGGATGTTTCCATCCTCCTCCCCAAATCAATAACATCTACAATACCCCCTCACCAACACCTCCAGAAGAGAGCCTTAGGCCTCATACTGGTGGGAGTTGTGACACTCTTGAGTCTAGTAGGATTGGCAGGAGGAATTACATACAATTCAATCACAGCCAAAAATATCACTACTACCATGGCTGTGGTGGCCCAAGTACAGGCGAAAACTTTAAACTCCTATCAGCTTCCCTTAATTCATTAGCTGCTATGGTAATAGATAATAGAATAGCACTGGATTATCGGTGAGCTTCAGAAGGAGGAGTTTATGGGATTACAAACACCTCATGCTGTTTCTATGTAAACACCACAGGACAGGTAGAAGAAAGGACACAATGTATTCCAGAAAATGCAGAGTGGCTAAAAAAGTTCTCTGAAAAGGACATAGCAGACTCAATTTGGAACTCCCTCCAATCTGTCCTCCCCAAAGTGACCTGGCTCTCACCCTTCTTAGGACCCCTAGTAATGCTTATGCTAGCTCTCCTCTTCAACTCTTGTCTGTTACAACTTTTTCTACGTTTTCTTAAAACCAGAATTCAAGCCATCACCCACAAATCAATTGGAGAGATCCTCTTGATGGAACAAGCCCTTCCACACCTTCAACTCAATACCCAAGCCTGACAACGTCCTTTATCAGCAGGAAGTAGTCAGAAAGACAACGACGCCCGCTTCCCGACCTTTTAATTTTTTAGCCATACCATACCTTTCCTTTTCTTATATGTATATAATAAAAAGGGTGAGATGTTAGGTTTGTTCAAGGTAGGAACTTGGAAAGTATGTATAGGACAGAATGTGGTTAATGGAAAATTTAGGTTTGTAAAACAATAGCCACAGGAGTCTGGAGAGTCCCTCCCCCTACCCCCACCCAAGTCGTAAAATAGAGGCGGGCATTCCTATCCCCCCCCATAAGGACGGAACTACCCCCCTCCCTTATCTCTGCAGTATGAGACAGAAGCAGGGGTCCCAGAAATAATTGGGGTCCCAGAAATTGGCTGTTTAAAAATTTTATTTTAGCAGCTGTTCTGGCCCAGGTACTCACCCCTGACCCCAAAGAAAACCTCTATAAAACCCAAAGCTTTCTCCTCCCTCAGGGTGGATGCCTTTTTGGCCTCCACCCACCGACACCCAGATGCTCAAATAAACAGCTTTCTGCTCTGGACCTAACAGAAGAATGTATTCATTTGTAGGAAATACACATAAAGTATACAGGGGTGATCAGGCTAGCAACTTAATTTTGTTTTTCCACTCAGGCATGTGATCAAGCAACTTAATTTTAAATTGTTGAGAAAGAAAACTTCTGTATATACTGTACCTGTAACTTTTATATAAGTTTGTGATTGTTTCAAAATAAAATGTTTTTAAAACAACAAGCAAGGTTATCTGCAGGTAATTCTCTCTCTCTTTCTTTAATACAGACAGAGTCTTAGCTCTGTTACTCAGACTGGAGTGCAGAGGTGTGATCATAGCTCACTGCAGCCTTAACTTCCTGGGCTCAAGCAATCCTCCTGCCTTAGCCTCCCAAGCAGCTGGAACTACAGGCACATGCCATCACACTTGGCTAATTTTTGTATTTTGCTTAGGCTAAAAAGCGCTTTTCTTACCCTCTACTCTCACACAGTCACTCAACACTTCTTTTTTTTTGAGACAGAGTCTCTCTCTGTTCCCCCGGTGTTCCTGAGATTCCTTCCTTGGCTTCAATTAACTTGCTACAGCAGCTCACAGAACTCAAGAAAACACTTTACTGGCCGGCACAGTGGCTCATACCTGTAATCCTAGCACTCTGGGAGGCCAAGGCGGGTGGATTGCTCAAGGTCAGGAGTTTGAAACCAGCCTGAGCAGGAGTGAGACCCCGTCTCTACTATTAATAGAAAGAAATTAATTGGCCAACTAATACATATAGAAAAAATTAGCCAGGCATGGTGGCGCATGCCTGTAGTCCCAGCTACTGGGGAGGCTGAGGCAGCAGGATTGCTTGAGCCCAGGAGTTTGAGGTTGCTGTGAGCTAGGCTGACGCCATGGCACTCTAGCCCAGGCAACAGAGTGAAACTCTGTCTCAAAAACAAACAAAACCAAAAGAAAACACTTTACTTACATTTACAGGTCTATTATAAAGGGCATTACAAAGGATACAGATGAAAAGCTAGATGGAAGAGATGCACAGGGCAAGGTATGCAGAGTTTCCAGAAACCTCCATGTGTGCAGCTATCTGGAAGCTCCCGGAACCCAGTCTTTTTGGGTTTTTATGGAGGCTCGATTATGTAGGCTTGATTGATTAAATCATTGGTCCTTGGTGATCAACATAACTTTCAGCCCCTCTCCCCACCCAGGAAGCTAGGGGTGGGGCTGAATGTTCCAACCGCCTAATTCAGCCTTGGCCTTTCTGGTAACCAGTCACCAATCTGAAACTATCTAGCCTTCAGCCACTAGTCAATCATTAGCATACAAAAGACACTGCTCGCACTAGAGATTCCAAGGGTTTTAGAGATCTTTGTCAGGAAATAGACCAAATATTTATGACCACGGTCAATGGCATGTTGACTAGAATTGTGCCATCGGATAAGACAGACCTAGCCACATGCTTATATGAGACTGAGGAACTAAAATTATAAATGTATTCATTTTAATTAATTTAAAATTTAAAGTAGATAATTCAATTACATAAAACTTTTTTTTTTATTAATAATTTTTTTTTTATTTGAGACAAAGTCTCACTCTGTTGCCCAGGCATGAGTGCCGTTTCGTCAGCCTAGCTCACAGCAACCTCAAACTCCTGGGCTCAAGTGATCCTCTTGCCTCAGCCTCCCGAGTAGCTGGGATTACAGGCATGGGCCACCATGCCCAGATAATTTTTTCTATGTATTTTTAGTTGGCCACTTATTTTTTTTCTATTTTTAGTAGAGACTGGGTCTGGCTCTTGCTCAGGCTGGTTTCGGACTCCTGACCATGAGCGATCCTCTGGCCTCAGCCTCCCAGAGTGCTAGGATTACAGGTGTGAGCCACCGTGCCAGGCCGACAGAAAACTTTTTTTTTTTTTTTAGGCCCATTCATGTACTTGTATAGAAAACTTTTAAAGCAGTTTGAAACAACTTGTGAATGTCAATGTATGCTTTTTATTTATTTATTTATTTTGAGACAGAGTCTCGCTTTGTTGCCCAGGCTAGAGTGAGTGCCGTGGCGTCAGCCTAGCTCACAGCAACCTCAAACTCCTGGGCTCAAGCAATCCTGCTGCCTCAGCCTCCTGAGTAGCTGGGACTACAGGCATGCACCACCATGCCCGGCTAATTTTTTCTATATATATTAGTTGGCCAATGATATTAGTCTATATTTAGTAGAGAAGGGGGTCTCGCTCTTGCTCAGGCTGGTTTCGAACTCCTGACCTTGAGCAATCCGCCCTCCTCGGCCTCCCAGAATGCTAGGATTATAGGCATGAGCCACCGCGACCGGCCCTAATCCTTTTTTTTTAATGTGTCATTTGTCTGCAGCCTTTCATGTTAACTCTCTCCCTCCATCTTCCGCCTGTATTAGCAATTGAGGGTGCTGGTCTGTGTCGGTGATTTATATCCTCCAGGAGTAAGATGTTTCATTTTTCCTGATGTAATTGGTCACTGCAAAATTATTTCAGCCTAGTGACAGAGATGTTCTGATTTCATTGGCCATGGAGACTAAAGCCTGCCTCCCACACAGGGCTA